AAAAAAAAAAACAAAGGTATAACTGTTGTACACAGTTGCAGGTTGCAAGAGGCAACACTGTGAAATTGCCTGCAATTCTTTTGTAATCCATTTGGACTTATTTGCCCTCAGCTTCACCTGAGCATAAGCTTCAGTAAATCCTGTCGAGATTATTTGCCTTCAGCTGCACGTGAGCATAAACATCATAAATGCGGGGACCGCTTACTGAAGGCGGGTTTTTGTAAGACAAATTCTACTCGCATAAGCTCAGTTTTTGCTTGCTTTTGATTTTTTTTCTTTCATTCACAAATTCAAGTTCGTTTTAATTTATATTTCTTTGTAGTGCCGTGTTAGTTTATTTTTCTGTTTATTGCTATCTACAGTCCTTGCTTCGAACTCATGACTAGCACCTTTCTGTATCTTGCCCCCCCATCCCTGCCTCCAGAGCCACATCGGGGCACCCACCACCTCCAACCACTGTCACCGTTTATCGTCCTGAACTCCAGGACAGCAGCTTTATTCTTCCCCACTATCCTGTTCGCAGTCGCGCCCTCTAACGCTGTATCTGGGCAACTACCAAACAATACCACCCAACCACGTCCAACCCGGCAATCACAATAACTTGGCTTGACTGGGCTGATGATCGGTAGTGTTTGGGCTTTCCAGTGCTTTGCTCTAACATCTCTGCCAACACTATTTCGTGGCGCCGCTCGATGGAACAGCTTGGCATTTTGCCAGAGGCGCTGGGTAGCGCTGCCCAGTATCTAGTGGTTGAGTCACGTGGCGCGGGGGTGATGGGTAGGAGGATTGGACGTGGTTTGGGGTGTTGCTAGGTAGTTGCTCGAATAGAGCTCAGATGGCACGACACAGAAAAGAAAAACAGCTGTTACTGCAAGGAAGAAAATTGAAGGAAGTCTTGTCAAAAAGAATCTCAAATTTTTAATCAAAAACAGAAAAAGATCTCAAATTTCAAACAATGGTGAAAATGAGAATTAAATTAATGGCCAGAGCAACGACTACCGCTGCGAAGATGCTTTTTTTTGCATAGTTCCCAGCAGATTTTTGTCGCTAATGGTATTGTTTTTTTCCGACAAATACTTCCAGCTAAAAGAATTTGAAACTAATCGTCAGGGCTGCCAGGAACTATTCCTTTAAAACTTCAGCTTTCTAGCTTTCCTGGATCCCGAGTTATTAAATTATCCGAAAAAACATTCACGGGCTTGTGCATAGGAACCACGCATACCTGAGGGCTGGGTTTGAGCTCATTAATACCTACTTGGACGGGGAACATCCCCTAAAAATTTCAGTCTTCTAGCTTCTCAGGTTCCTGAGTTAGCAACTTATCAGAAAAAGAACTGTCATTTCGAGATTGCTAAATCTCGATTTCGCAATAATTGTATAAAAAATGTATTTTTCTAACATTTTGATGTTTACTTCTTTTTATGCTTTATTTCCTTCCGCGCAGCACTGTCCTCCTCATGCACTTTCGTCTTCAACAAAGGAAGATGCTTGGCCGGCAGATGCTACGACGGCGCTTATCCCTCCCTTTCTCTTTTTATGCGTTTTTGCCTATATGCAAATTGCAAAAACGCATATTGAGACGACCCCGTCTGTGT